CAGATTTTCTATCCAGTGCCCATTTTTCTGTTTGAAAGTTATGTAAAATTCTCATACATACTGTTAGCAAAACTGTTTTCATATACAACCAAAAGAGGGAGGTTTGAAAACAAGAGAACACCAGTAGACTCCCAAGCCATCAGGATGACTACAGAGCAAAAAGGGCTTTTTTTTTTTTAAAAGACTTTATTGGGGAATTGGGAGAAGGGAACAGCATTGGGGAATCGGGGAAGGGGCACAAACAAGTTGCTGTCCTTTGGTTCTTCAGTCTAGTTGTGGAGGACATTGCTTCACTGGCCCATGTTGGTATTATCATTACGCTCTTCCCGGGTGAGGCAGATCGGTCGCTGGCCACTCAACAGGTGCTCACGGCAGCTCATGGCAGTTCACACTGGCTGTCGGCCACTCACGCAGGCTGCCAGCCACTCACGGTAGCTTTACAGCAGTCCACTGCAGCCCCTCTGCAGCCAATGCCGTTGCCGGCGACTCACAGCAGCTCAGCTCCAGGTCGAGCTGTTGTTCACCATCTTAGCTGTAGAGGGCTCAGCATCACTGGCCCTCATATGGGATCCAAACTGGGCCCTGCTGCTCAGAGCTGGCATCCCAAGCCAACTGTTTTTTTTTTTAATATTTCTTTTTTTTTTAAAGATTTTTATTGGGGAATTGGGGGAAGGGGAACAGACAAGTTGCTGTCGTTTTGTTCTTCAATCTAGTTGTGGATCCGAACCGGGGCCCTCTGGCATCCCAAGCCAGTTCTTAACCATCACGCCACTCGGCCGGCCCCCAAGCCAACTCTTAACCAACACGCCAATCGGTTGGCCCAGGGCTTTTTTAAAAAATGCTTTTTACCCTTTAACCTGTATGTTATAATTATTTAATATCCTATTCTGAAATAGAGTTGCAATTTCCTCCTTCTATCTGTCTTCTTTCTCAAAGTTTTGTATACTTTTATCTTTTTGTTTCAGGTGGAAGAGCTCCTTTCAACATTTCTTATAATGCCGGTCCTGTGGTGGTGAATTCCCTCAGCTTTTGTTTGTCTGAAAAGACCTTTATTTCTCCTTCATATCCAAAGGATAACAAAAATATGGGCCACTTAATGAATTTGAGTGACATTCGTGCACAGTGGCCTGCCAATCTTCTCTACATTGTTCCAATTTTAGCATTTTTGCTGCAAAAGAGAGCATTCCATTTTATTTCTTCACTCTATTCTTCAAATCAGTTAATTCTTCTGAGTATGAATTAGCTGAAAATCTGCATTTAAAATGTAAAACTTAAGGCCAGAATCAAGTCTAGGGATGAGCCAGAATTTCACTATCTTCCTAAAATCTCTAGAAAAATCAGTTTTTTGGTAGCAGGTAATATTTTTTTCCCACTCTTGATGTTTCCATTTATGAAAATGGAGTTCAGTTAAGCAGTATCCTTTAACTTTCAGATGGGGTATCTCATTTGACTGGTACATTTGGAAAGAATAAACTAGGCATGCTCCACTCAGCTCCTGACTTTATTTTTTCCTCTCTTGGAAGTAAACTTGCTTGCAGTAAGCATGATTTCTTCTCTATAACTCATGCCATAAAATCCTTCCCATTTGGAAAAGTTGTCCTGGTCCAACGCTACCGATGAATATATGAGTAAGCCTGACTGATTCTGGATGGAGTTAGGAGGCCCATTTGACTCTCACATTCTCCAAGGTAGGTTTTATCAGTAATAGAGGGGACATGTTGGCCACCATCTGTCTCTCCTTTGTCTTATTGCTCAATTTGTTCTGAATCTAGGTGGTAAAGAGAGGAGTGTGTTAACTGTATTTTCTAATTTTCTGTATCCTTGATGCTCTGCTTTCTGAGGCCTCATTGACTGGGGAGAGACTGCCCTTCTCAGGGCTAGCTAATTTCTAGAAATAACAAGTCCCCTGAACCTTTCATATGCAAACTAAACAATGCAGAAACCACTCCCCCAACCACCTTCTTTGTCAAACTCACACACCAAGCCAATATTCCCCTGCCCTAATCAACCCAGGGTCAGGCACCAATTTGGAACAGCCCCTATACCTCAGGGCTTGTTGAAATTATTCCGACTAGCCAATCGTAAGCCTGCTTACTTTGCTTTGCCTTGCCTTTCCAATGGGAGCCACGTGCTTTCCCCTCACTCCTGCCTCCTGGCTAAACCTGGTGCTTCCTGTGCAACCCTCCATGGTGTGGTGTGCCCCCTCCTCTTAGCTGCTATAAGTAACAAACTATCTTAACAGTGGCAGTTGTCTCCTGATCTCTTGGTCTCACCATGCCTGAATAATAATGAAACCTTTATTTTAAAACAGGAAGTTGTTATTGGGCCCCTCCAAATGCTCCAACATATCTCTTCAGGAGGTGATTCAAAGTGTGACTTTATAACATAGTCACTGATATCATTTCCCCTTCTTTTCTGCCTTTTGTTTTGTTTTGTTTTTTATAATCAGGAAGATAGGAACAGAAATACCCAAAGATCTGGACTCTCTGATTAGCAACAACTTGTCCAGTTTTTATTTCTTCTTGAGATTGTAACTATTGACTTTCTAAAGTAACTTATCCAAGAATTTATCAATCTGAATCTTAAGTGTGAAAAATTCTTAAGTGTTCTGACAAGAGAAATGTAATTCATAATTCAAGCTTTCAAGAAGCTGTGGCACAGTGAGTAGGTCAGCAAAACTAGAAAATATTAAACAATTGAGATGATTTAGTGTTAAAGCAGTTTGGATTAAGTAAGTGCATTGGGAGTTAAGGAAAAAGAAGAGTTGTTTGAAAGTGGCATGAGAGCTAAATCTCAAAGGATAACTTTAAATCGAAGAGGCAAAGATGTGGGAGCACTTGTTGCAAGCCAATTCAAATTTTTTTCAGCCAAAAGGGGGGAAAGGATTTATTGTTTCTTATCACAAAAAAAGATCAGGCATAGGTAGATCTAGAAGCTCAAATTATATCATCAGAAATCTGTCAGTTGCTCTCTAGTAGTGCTGTAAGAGCACTATTCTTTTTCAAAAGTTCCAACAGAAGGTCTGGGCAGGGTTCTCACTGGACCAGCTTGGGTCATGTGCTCTTCCTTGAACTGATTGCTGTGACTATGGGGCTGTGGTTTTCTGATTAGCCAGGTGTGGGTCACATGTCCACCCTAGAGCTGGCTGTGGAGTCAGTCACATCCAAACCTATGGACTGAAGGTAAGGGTTTGATAGTTTCTAAAGGAAACTCTGAGAGATATTATTATACTAAAAGGTACAGTCAATTCTGGACAGGAAATCACAACAATTCTGAGTGTAGTGACAGTATAATAACATTAGCAATGACCAGTCTGATTCTAATCCATAT